TTTATTAGACCACAATTAAAAACTGTTCCAAAAATCGGACATTATTTTCTGAACAACCTAATACAATTTGCTAGTATATACACAGCCTGCGTCACGTATTTGAGAACAGAAGCGGTCGATATAAATTTAACAAAGAGGTTATTTTAATCATTAGGTGTGGGTAATATATGTTTTCATCAGTTGCTATAATAATATATTAGACTACAATTAAAAGAGTTTTTCCAAAAATCGGACATTCTTTTCCGAACAACCTAATGCAATTTCCTAGTATATACACAGCCTGCGTCACGTATTTGAGAACAAGATTCTGAAAGAAGCCGATATAAATTTAGCAAAGGGGTTACTTTAATAATTAGGAATAAGTAATATATTTTTTGTTCAGCTACTATAATAATAGAATACAATATAATTTTTTTTTTTTAAATCGGACATTATTTTCTGACTAACCTAATAAATTTTATTACAAGCTAGATTTGTCATGTAAATCTTTTGTTGCGAAACACTAAATCATTTTTCTTCCTCGGCGTTTATTTTTTGCCGGAAGGTAGGCCGATTTGGTGAATGTCATTTTTTAAGGTACACTACTTCCATTGTTGTAAAGCTGGCGATCTTTGTGTACTTTTCAGTAAGTCATGCGCGCAATGCCACGATCCGCGGATGATCTGTTATGGTTGACTCGAAGATAAGATTCAAAGTAAATGTCTTCCCTTCAAAACAGACTCGCCGTACATTGTTCAGAATAGCGTAACAATTTTTTTATGTAATTTTTTTGGCAAAAGAACAAAAGAAAATCACCGTTGAAAACCGAGGCTAATATAAATATCTTTACTATGACTCTGAATTCCTTCTATACGAACCAGAAAGATATGGACAGACAATCAATACAGAAAGAATGCTACTTTCTGCTTCCATAGAAACGCACTATTTTAATCATTTCACCCCAAGCAAGGCAAGAAAACCACAATGATATAAGGAGGTTGCTGTTAGAGAATATGAGAAAAAAAAACTATTATTAAGGAGAGGGGACAATAAAAGAACAGGAATTAACAAGACAGAAAATACGATTGACATTGCATTTAAATTTCTTCCCAAGCAAGGCTCTAAAGCCACTAAGACGCAAAGGGGGTTACTTAGTGTTAGAGAATATGAGAAAAACTATTATTAAGGCGAGAGAACAATAAAAAAAAAACAGACATGCAGACAAACGATAATGATTGTTATTGCATTATATTCTTTAGAAGATCAAATTTGACTGGGAATCAAGAAGCCTGAAAAGAGTTCCACAAGCGAGAAGTGCGATAGAATAAAATTTTAGAAGCATTAACATAGAGTCTAACATCTTTGGCAGCAATTACTAGATGATGTAAGAGAACTGTATCATTAGCAATTGTATTTGCAGTGATAGCTATGTCATTTGCATAGTCAATATCTGCCAACTATTTTGCTGGATATCGACTTGAGAGTCTTGGCGAGGATGTAAAACCTAGATGATGATGTTTGTGGAGGGAAGTTCCCAATATGTAGTCAAGGGTGATAACAAAGAGAAATGGTGCAAGATTTCACCCTGGAGGACTCCTGCTTTAATGTCGAAGTTAGAGTCTCTGTCTGGAGATCTAACCAAAGATTTAGTATTTCTGTACAGAACCATCATATGAAATCATATGCGAATGCATAAAACAGGCTTTTGTTTTTTTTATAAATTCACTTAGAACTGAATTTTATTTGTACACCCCATCCTTACGTCACTAAAACAAAACAGCCTGCATCGTTAATACGCAATGTCTATTCACTAGCCTTTTATATACCTTAATTTCTGTAAATTACAGGTGATAGTAGGGGTGCGTATTATAAATAGGTTTAAACAAAAGTATTTTTTCGTTATTGATTTATGATAATAAATACGTAATTGTTGTTCTAAAATAAAAAAGGTATTATCCCAATTTTCATTTTAAATCCAACAATAATAATTGTAACATTTTTTGTCGATAAATTTATGTTTATCAATATTTTTTATTTGGCGAAAAAATAAAAAAATCTATAAAAAGGGTAATTTCGAAGAAAAGAGGATATCAAGTTCCGAATTTATTGAAATTTTAATTTTCATTATCATCATCACTTTCTATTATAGAATTAACATCAAAATTGTCATCAAACAAATTATCATTCACAATATTATCTTCGTCCTGCTCAAAATTACTTTCGACCTCTTCATTCTCTTGCCAAAGGATGTCATCTTCAAAGCTATCCATGGCTGTCGTGAAACAATACTTCTTATAATCTCTCTTTATAAAATCCTCACTGATGGAATCCCAAGATTCCTGAATCCATTTTACAATGAGTTTTTTTTTTCTGTTGCCAGCAAAAGTAAAACTAGGAACACCAGAAAACATCCAGTCATTCCATTTTTTACGCATCTCTTATTTAAATGGACGGTTGCAGACAACATCCATTACTTGAAGTTCGACAGCCATTCCCCTGCTATAATAACAAAATCAGTCCACTTCTCCTAAAGTATATTCTTCATGCAAGGCATCCGTTTTGACAACATTTTGGCGGGAAATTAAAATGTTATATTTATCGGGAAAACCGTCATGGTAATTTTCATCATTATTTTAGCAGCTTAGTTTCGATTCTATTCCTAATGTCAAGATCGACAAAATGTAATTACTTTCTTGGGGTTTTTTAAGAAAATTTATAGATGCGTATTATACATAGGGATAGATATATTTCTAAATTTTTGGATCATTTATTGAGGTGGGTATTATTTATGGGTGCGTATTATTTACGAGAAATTACGGTAAACTAAAATTTTTGCATCACGCTGAAAGCCTCACAGTATTTAGTATTGTTGAAGTTATCGCTAACATTTTTGTCGAGATTTACAAACTCTACATTTCGTTCAATTTCGCAAACCAATCGATGAAATTTGAATAAGCTGATTTGTTTGGGAAAATATTTTGACAAAAACCCTACTCGCGGTTTAATAATTTCTTTAATATAATTTAATGTTATACGACTTCGCAGTAAACAGTATTTTTTAAGATTTTTCTTCCTCTTTAACAGCGAATAATAAATTAGAATTTCTTACTCTTAAGCATGCAACATACAACTGACCAACGTAAATATTTCACTTTGGAGCCAAATTCCAAAATTTTGAAGTGTTTTCCCTTGTGATTTGTTTATTGTTCTCGCAAACGCAGGGCAAACTGGAAACTGGATTCTTGTATATAAAAAAACTTTTAAAAAATTATCAAAAAACAATATTGCGTTTTTATTAAATAAGTTTTTGTTAGTTTAACCATTAAATTGTTTTAAAATAGTGGGAGTATTTTGTATGTAAAATAATAGAACTTTAAATTATTCCAAAAAATTAATGAAAATTTTATTTACTTTGTACTTATCTGTTTGCACTTCTTGGATTCAATCGGTCAATGTCTGGCTAATTTAGATGGTGTGGCAGACTAACGGAAGTGACAGAATTTTATATATAGATTGATTACTAAGACATTAGCGGTAATTAATATTCATAATAATTCTTGAACGCATAACTTAACAAATATTTTGTTATTCGTTTTTAATTCAAATTTTGCATATATAAGCATTGTTCCTATGGTTTTATTTTCAAAATCAAATTTGTATGAAAATAATTTATATATGCCTTGTTAAAATATAATCATCCTTATCATGGTATCTATGCCCATTCTCCATCCATTTACTCCTATCTTCATAGCCTGAGTGGTATGATAAGGCAAAATTAGCAGCTGATCTGAAAAAACGGCTGATGCTAATCTCCAAGTGTGTGATTCATTGCACCTTCTCTGATTAACGCTATCCACTGACATGAAGGGTAAAGATTATTTCCAATCCACTGCTATATCTGCTACTAAGGAAATTAGTTTCTTGTGTCTTGCTAGACAATTTATAAATGTATTTTTCCTTATTTATAAATCTACCAATCGTCCTTGCTTTGAATATTGCTGCCACATCTGGTCTGATGCTCCTGCTATATATTTAGAGATTCTTGATAAAATCCAATGGACAATCTGCAATGTTATTGGTCCTGATCTGGCATATCGCCTTCAGACACTTTTCCACTGCCGCAATTTACATTTTCTTCTCCCTTTTTCTATAAATACCTTTATAGTAATTCTTCTAATGAACTTACCTTGATGCTAAATGGAATTTATGAATTTCAGCGCAGGAATAGATTGGCAGCTAGACCTCATCTTTTTACAGCTGAAATTTTAGATGTAACCGTAAGTTCTATGTTAACAGTTTCTTCTCAAGCACCACTCGCCTGTGGAACTCTCTTTCTGCTTCTTGTTTCCCAGTCAAATTTGATCTTATAAAATCTAAACGCAATATTTATCGTTATCTTCTGTCTTCTTAATTATTATTCTTTTATTGTCCCCTCTTTAATAATTGTATTTACTCATATTCCCTCACACTCAGTAACCCGTTCCGTTCTAGTGGATCTATTCCCTTGCTTGGGGTGAAATGATTAAAAAGAAAATTTAAAAAAAAAGAAGAAAAATTAAAACTTATCCAAAATGTCTTATCATTCCTCAGTTGAAATTCCTACATTTAACCGTAAGTTCTATGCTAACAGTTTCTTCTCTTGCACTTCTCGCTTGTGGAACTCTCTTCCGACTTCTGGCTTTCGTGTCAACTTTGGTCTTCGAAAATTTAAATGCAATGCTAATCGTTATTTTCTGTCTTCTTAATTCTTGTTCTTTTAATGATTCCTCTCCTTAATAATTGTTTTCTTTTTCTTTTTTTTTTTTTTTTTTTTTTTTTTCGTATTGTCTGTTGGTTTTATTGGCTTCCTTGGGGTGAAATTTTTTTTTTTAAATCGTCCAGTGATCTTAATAAGCGTTGTTCTCGTGCAGTTTATATGTTGCTTTAAACTACGTTTTCTTTCTGTCCGAGTCTTGATGGCGCCACATCACTGTAGGAGCCGGAATTTGATTGTGGGGCCAATGGGCCTTAATTCATAGTGTATGATTGCCATCTATCTCAAGGGAATGTGGCCATCACTTTCCCATATGATGTCTGCGCCCCTATGTTTGTCTGTGATTCTTGGTAGCGCCAAACCATTGTAAGAGATAAGCTATGTAAAATCTTCGTTAATTGATACCCCATACGGAAACCAAAACAAAAATGTTTATACGACGTTATTTTTTAAAATATAGCCTGTAAAAAAAATGAATTTCGTAATCAGATGTTCTTTTTGTTTCCATCGATATGTTACTATAGATTAAGTGCTCCAGATTACGATTTTCGGAGAAAAATGTATTTTTTTTACGTTTTAAATAAATCACGCGGTATGATCATATTTTGTTTTGGCTTCCATGGGGGAAACAATTTACTTTAAATTTGCATAGCTAACTGGACACCCGCCAATAGCTTTTATAAAATGTGATTAAAAAAATCAATATTCATGGCTCGGGGGTGCTTAATCTATAGTAATCTTAAGAATTACTATCATTTCTCGTTCAAGTGCTTATTGTGTGGGTTGCGGCAGAAATACCTCCCGTATTTTAAACTGTCACCTCTCTGGTGCAAATAAACATAAGCAAGTGGCAATGATGTCTTCACCTAGCTAATGTATTACTGTATTGTATCCCATCAGATAAGTTACCATAATCGCTTGGGCCGGTACCCACTGTGCGTTTGCTTTTGAAATGGTTTTTAAGACTGGTGAATCTACCATAGATCTTTTCGTGTTCATTTCATGTCACGCTGGAAGACGCTGTTTTGAATAGAAAACCCTTACTACTATGGGTTGTATAGCATCCTTTTAGTATTCTAGCAGATGGCCTGGCTCATAGCCTGAAATAGTCTACGATTAAGGACTTCAACAGTTGATTAATAAGTTGATATAGAACTGATTACTATTCGGTCTGATCTTACTTTGGCTATACAGCATTTGACCCTCCTCTATTCCTTGTAAGTTGTCTTGTTAATTGTTTTGTAACTTATTGTTCTGTGTTTTTTGTATTTATCTGTTAGGACTGGTATTGAATAAATATATTAAGCACTTATTCTTCTCCGTGTATCAATCACCTTGATGATACAGAACTATGGGTTGAGCATTTCACGGCCACAGGTGCAACGCTTAAAAGGCAGCCGCCTGGAAGACTTTGAAACGCTTTCCGCGTGATGGAAAACTTTAGAAATTGTCTACAATGGTGTATGACAAATAGAGACCTTCATTTGCAGGATCTCATTTTTACAATAAAAAAAAACTATAGCTCTTTGTTTAAACAACAATGAAATATTTTTTTTTAAATAGCAGTTACCTTTTAAATGTTGGAGGTATTTGTGCTGCACCATGTTCAATTACATAAATAAATCGATGAATAATCACCACTTTACATATCTTTCTTTTAAAAAAAACTCGTTATCTCGGGACAATAGAAAAGACACGTTATCACTGCAGCTGCCAGTCTTTGTTCTTCTGTTTCTTCTTTCACGGATCTTCACAAATTTCTATCCTTCGTAGTTCTAGACACTGTGTCTACGCATACTCTCCCACTCAGTCCCTTTTCCACTGCTTCCTCCTACGTTTCTTACCGTCAATATATCCTTTGAATGTCATATTCTCGAAACCTCGTGTCTGTTCCGTCCATGCTATGCTTCCGTAGACTTTCTTCATCATCGAACAGACTCAGAACATTTGTCTATCAATATGTACTCTCAACGAGGCTTCTTGCCTTAAACGCTTATAGGGACTCATTTTCAACCCAAACCTCAAGTGGAACACATATATACCATCCAGAGCTAAAGATGCTGGAGACATGGTCAACTCTTTGTGTTACTCCAGAAAGCACCCGACTCCTCTTTCCATAGTCTGTCTGTTAATATATCTGGGCTGGAACTGCCCAATCCAGGCTTGATGTGGTTCAATACCGACTACGTGGTCGTATGGGTGATGATCTGTTTTCCACTAGACGACCTCTATCCCGTAGACGAAACGCAGCAAGACTCTCAGAGGAGTGAATAATGAGTGCTAATTCCATGGCAAATATTATAGCTAGCTACATTCCATACATTCGCCCTTTCAGACCTTCACATCTAAGACTCGCTATGCCACGTACACTGAACGAATAGTCTACATTCCCTTCGTATACCATTAATAAGGAGACAGATTCATTTAGTGTTGTGGAGTGATTTCACAGTGGAGGCTTATATTTGTACTAAGTCGGTCCTAAAATAGGTTCGACGTACAGAACGTTAGAAACTTGGTATTACGCAGAGTAAACCTAGTTGTGGTCGCTGATACTTTCGTATTCGGCTAACTGTAGCCCGACATCTACTGGATATTCAGTCACCCCCCCCACTGGGGCATCATGTGACACAAGGTCGGTTATTTATTGTGGGTTCTCCGAGCACGTGGGCTCGGCCCAAAAATATGCCCGTTTGAACCCGTATAAACGGACTCAGGGCCGGTTTACCTCCCCGAACGAGACTCCGCCCCTCGGCGTAGCCTCGTTCGGGTTCCTCCCCGCCCGAAGGCAGAGAGTTCAACCGTTCAGCCGGTCGTCCGACATCGACTGACCCTAGTTTCTCTTACTACTCCTACTTATATTAGGTGGAAGAATCTATTAACTATAGGATAGGTGTGTTCTACTATAGCATTTGGACAGATTCTTCTCAAGAATCGTTACACTGTAGAACAGGCTCCCTAGAGAATGCTTCCCTGATCAGTAAAATCTTAACCTATAAAAGCCTAAGGTTAACCATTATCTTTCTTATATATCGTCATAATCTGCACTTGGTACGTCTTTCTGTTACGATCATACAACAATGCCATTTAATGGTTCTCTACCCTGAGGGCCTCTTGAGCCTTTTCTTGGGTGAAAATTTAGTAAAAATACTCTGTGTCGCCTGAAGTATCCTTTTTTTCATTTTTTCGGGTTTTGGCCAGAAATCAGTACCGATTTCTGGTTCCCCAGCGCGTGCAAGTCTTATGATTAACGAGAAAAAAACGATGATTGATATATGATAAAATAAAACGATCTTTATAGATATTACATAGCGTCATAGATAGGGAAAGCAAGCATAAAAAAAACCCGCCAAGCTCGAGAATGAAGGAGAAAGCGAGAAAAGAATACTGCAGGCGTGTGCGTCTGTTATTAAATACCGAGTTAAATTCATAAAACAGAATATTCGTTTGGTTTCTGATTATATTTCTGAGATGAGGTATTATGTACACTATTTACATTATTCGGACTATTGTCCTCATCTTTGTCGCAATATTTATTACAACGTTTCGGCCTTTCAGTATCTGTCTATCTTTCTGAGATGAGGTATTATGTACACTATTTACATTATTCGGTCTATTGTTCTCATCTTTGTCGCCATATTTATTACAGCGTTTCAGCCCTTTAGTTCTGTCTATATTTCTGAGACGAGGTATTATGTACATTATTTACATGATTCAGACTATTGTCCTCATCTTTGTGGCCACATTTAATACAACGTTTCGGCCCTTCAGTATCTGTCTATATTTCTCAGATGAGGTATTATGTATATTATTTATATTATTCGGACTATTGTCCTCATCTTTGTCGCCATATTTATTACAATGTTTCGGCCGTTATACGCTCCGGCCTTCTTCTGGTGGCTGGAATGTCGAACTGAACCCTTCTGGGTTAGACTGTTCTTGTTCCACATGTCATGTTTAATGGATATCATTTACCTCCTTGTTAATTTCCCTCTGAAAGTTATCCACTGCCTTAACCGGGTATTGAACTCACACTCTTTGAGTCCTGTCACTGGATCTAACTAACGCCTTTATCCACTGTGTCATGTGTCCTTGAGGACACATGGCACAGTGGGGAACTTTCAGAGGGAAATTAGCCAGGGGATAACTGATAACTGACATCCATTAAACATGGCACGTGGAACTAGAACAGTCTACCCCAGTGAACGAAATAAAGTGTTCAGTTCGACATTCCAATCACCTGAAGAAGGCCGGAGTGTACAACAGCCGAAACGTTGTAATAAATATGGCGAGAAAGATCAGGACAATAGTCCGAATAATTGTAAATAATAAACACATTGGTTGTTCCTGTGGTGCAATGAAGTTTCAACATCCTTAACTGCTTTTTACCTTGAGATAATTAATAAAATCCAAAGAATCAGCGATATTTTTAATTCTGATCTGGCGTCTCGGCTCCAGACCCTTTCCCACTGCCGTAAAGTTACCTTCCTTTGTTTATGTCTAAATATTTTCATGTTAATTGTTCAGATCAGGTCTTCGCTATGGTACCAAAACTTTTTGAATTTAAGCTCAGTACTAAACTGGCGTCGAGATCTCATCAATTTAGACTTGAGATGGTTAGATGTCACCGTAAAATCTATGCTAGCATTTACTTTTCTCACACTTCTCGCATGTGCTAATTCCTTCCGGCTTCATGCTTTTCAGCCATCTTTAATCTGCAAAAATTTAAACGCAATGTCAATCGCTATCTACTGTCCCCTTGATTACTCTTTTTCTTCCCTCTCATTATTAATGTTTTTGTACCTAATTTTGCCACACCCAGTAACCCCCCTTGCGTCTTAGTGGCTTTAGTGCCTTGCTTGTGGAACTCCCTTCCGACTCCATGGAATTCAGCCTACTTTATTGTTTACATATTTATATGTAGTGTCAATCACTATCTACTGTCCACTTAATTACTCTTTCATCTTTCTGCTGATTAATAATGTTTATCTCCTTCCACACCCAGTAACCTACTTGCATCTTAGTGGCTATAGTGCCTTGCTTGTGAAACTCCCTTCCGGCTCCGTTCATTCCAATCAACTTTAATCTTTACATATTTATATGCAGTGTCAATCGCTGTCTAGTGTCCGCTTGATTACTCTTTCATCTTTCCGCTCATTATTAATGTTTCTCTTCCGAATTCTTCTACATCTAGTAATCTCTTGTGTCTTAGCGGCTTTATTGCCTTCGTTGTGGAATTCTCTTCCGGTTCAATGATTTCCAGCCAATATTAATCAACAAAAACTTTAATACAATGTCAATCGCTATCTACTGTCTTCCTGATTAGTCTTTTTCTCTTCCAGCTCATTATTAATGTTTTTGTTCCTAATTTTGCCACATCCTGTAACTCCCTTGCGTCTTAGTGGCTTTACATCCTTGCTTGGGGCGATACCGATTTAAAATTAAAATACAACAAAAAAAAATATATAGCAAAATTTACATGTCAGAAATGACTGGCATGAAACTCCAACTCTCAAGGTCGACAGAGGATATAGCAGCCCTTCTGGTTCCCAAGCGCGAGCCAGTCTTATGATTAACGAGAAAAAACGATGATTGATATATGATAAAATAAAATCATCTTTATTTACCTTTTCTCTCCGTCACCTCCTCATTTGCTGCATTTCCCTCTATCTCACAACCGCCTCCATGTCTTTTACTCTTTGTTTAATATTTTGCCCCAATTCAAGCAATAAATCTTATGATATTAATCTTGGCTTTTCAGCCACAAGCAAATAAATACATTGTCGCTAAGATTTGATATATTTGGACGAAATTTCTTAGGTTTTTATTTTCGAGAAAAATGTTTTATTTAGAGGAAAATATTTCAACATTTAAACCAAAGCAAAGCAAAAGGAAGGAAAAACAAAACAAAACGGAAAAGCAATAAAATTTCTGCCCATTAATTTTATCTCACTTCGAAAACAAGGAACATAAATTCAAATCCAAATTTTAGCTTACAAGAATCTATTTCCAATTCTTTGTTTTTGTTATTCGCAATGCCCTCCGCCATTTGCCGATTACGTAAACAATGGATGTAATATGTTTATAATATCGCCCTAAAACATAATATACAACAGAATTAATCTTAGATATCTGTCGTATATCGTCACACTTTACATTCATTTCCCTGTTCAACAATTTCCGTTTATCGCCACCAGCTTGTGCGTAAATCAATCAGATTTGCCCTCTAAGGCGTTAAATTTAAAATGGCCGACATTTTTATTAAATGGTAGTTTTTGTTTGTTTTGTTTTTTTTTTGTTTTTTTTTTTTTTTAATTTAGATACACTAAAGCTCTCGGGACACTTCAAAGAGGAGTGGGTATAGCCTGTTATTATTATTATTATTACAATTCGATTACTGCTATGGTCACACTACCTACCAAGTCTGCGGGAAGACCTAAGGCAGGTAAGTGGTGTGTTGTTATGGCTACATTTCATGGTTTGTTTTACCAACTCCCATAACATCACTAGCGTTAAATGGACAAAGTTCTTCTTGGCGTCTGGGCTGTACTTATCAAAACAATTATTATTATTATTATTATTATTATTATTATTATTATTATTATTATTATTATTATTATAATACACTGAATATATCAGTTTTGCTTTTTATCTTATTTCATTCTTCTTACTTTTTATTTCTCTCATCCTTAAATTCTTTCTTTTCTTGCTTCTCCTCTTAATCTTTAATCGATCACCCTTAATCTTTGTTGTCCTTCCTACACTTCTTCTTCTTCTTCTTCTTCTTCTTCTTCTTCTTCTTCTTCTTCTTCTTCTTCTTCTTCTCAACATTTTATCATTTTTTCCTTCGATTTATTTTTCTTCTTTTATCGTATCATTTTTATCATTCTTTTTCTTCATTTCTTTCAACACTTTTGCCATTGTTCTTTCTTTCTTTCTTTCTTTCTTCTTCTACTTTTATCTCAACATTTTTATCATTCTACTTTGTTTCTTTCTTTCTTCCTTGCTTTCTGTCTTTATTCTAATCCTTAGTTTCTTTCTTTGATCTACGTCTCTCTTCATTCTTTCTCTCTTCTTCTTTCTTTCTTTATTCTATTTGTTATATCTTTCTTTCTACTTTGCTTACTTCTATTTCTTTCTTCTACTACTTTCTTCTACTTCCTTATTAATTTTTTCCCATTGTTCCACCTTCATTTTTTTTAAATTTAATGGCTTTGAACGTAAGAAACCAATGGATCTTGGTTAAGACTGTAGCGATTGCTATGTTTTTCCACGCCCACATTTTATTCGTCTGCGATTGGCTAATAAATCAATACTACTCTTCTATAGGACAATTTAGCCATCGCAGTCATTTCTTTGAATCCTTCGGTTTTGAGTTTGTATGCCTGTTTTGTTAGTACGAATGTAGTGATTGGTTAATTTTAACCAATCACATATTTTAGTGCAAGATTAACCTTTTCCCGCGCTTCTGTGGGAGCCTATTCTTTTTCCTTAAAAGAGGCAACTTTTTCACAAGTCGTCACTAGGATCCATTAAGTTTCGCCTGTCCAAATGAGTCCACGATCTTACTCATAACATTTCAAACGCACACAAAGACAGAGAATTTTGTAATATAAACTCTGTGACTTAGCCAAGCTCAATCAACCAGGACTCTGTTAACTTCGAATCATTCTGTAACACAACACATTTCTGATCAATTGTATTCTTGTGTTATCTATTCTAACAAACAAACCTTCGTTCTAAAATTGATTCCTGAACATTTTTCTCTCAAAAAGAACTTCCTTCGAACAATCAATTACAAACCAAAATACAATTAAATGGGAACAACTTCTTTCCCTTAATCTATACATTGAATACAATTTTATTGCATGTTTGTTCATGTATGTTATTTCAATATATACTTGTTGATTCACAGTTTGGAGTTTTTTTGTTTACTTGAATCCTGTACGTTGAAAGTATAATAGTATAAATAATATTGGACCATCTAACCACTGGGCCATTACAAGATTATACTTCTCCATACTCGGGGACTGGCGCTACAGAATCACAAAGAACTGTACCAAATAACAGAAGCCATATCACTTGAGGACTTTCAACAGCAGCCCTTCTTTGAACGTTGTGGACTGACTCTACATAATCACAAAAAAAGTTATATACCAAATAACAGAAACCACATCACTTGATGACTTTCAATAGTAGCCTTTCTTCAAGCCTCGGGGACTGGCACTACAGAATCACAAACAAAGATATGTACCCAATAACAGAAACCACATCACTTGAGGGCTTTCATCAAAAGCCTATCTTCAAACCTCGGTGACTGGCGCTACAGATTCACAAACAAAGAACTTTCCACTACAGCACTTTTTCGAAAGAGGACTGACCTTACATAATAGTTCAGTACTCTTTACCTTTCTTCAAGTTTTTCTTCATTTCTTGAGAAGATTATCCAGCATTCGCTGCCAAATAGAAGGACTGATATCACATAACCGTGTTGAAAACTCCCCCTCTTCTGGGGAGGCCTTGTTTGACAGGGTCGATTTCGTAACGTTGTATGATCTATCGCACGTTTTCTCCCGGCTGGGTGTCTGGAAAGACATCAGCAAATGGGATTTTAATCTTACTAGTTTATTAACCACGCTGACAAGTGCGGTTTACTACACCCCCTATTAGGGAGCCGCTTCCAAACACGAGAAACTCACACGTCCATTTTGTTTGACGTGTAACAACCAACTCTCGAAAGACCCTTCCACGCTGGTGGGGTGCAGTCTAATACATCTAGTTAGACTGATGTCTGAACAGCAACTCTCGTAAAACGTTAATCTATAACTCATTCTCAGCTTCGGCTCAGCCAATCAAAATCGACTTCCCTAGTTTGTCTACCATCTGACCTTAAAGGTCAGCCTCAGAAAGTCTGAGCCAAAATACGCTGCCACTAAAAATTATAGTCTGAAACTATTATTTCAGAACATTTCAGTACTCTTTTCTGTGTTTCTCTTACTTCAAGTCTCTTCATCTTCACTGACATATAGGAGGACTGATATCACGTAACAGTTCAGTCGTCTTTTCTTTGTTTCCCTTGCTTCAAGTCTCTTCTTCATGTATGATAAGATTGTCCCAGCATTCACTGACATATAGGACGACTAATATCACGTGACAGTTCAGTACGCTTGTCTTTGTTTCAAACGAATTATTTTCTATTTCTTAATACTCTACTTGGCTTTTGGAAGCCATCTTTGTTCATCCCAATGAGCCTTCGGATTTCAGTGTCGCACTTTCTGTTCTCTGTTTAAAGATTCCTATCATATTTTCAATTAGTCTCGTTAAAATCTGAACTGCGCCTCACACGGCCGCATATATCCTGCCAATCCTTCGTTCACCATTTCCAAACCGTTACTACTTTGTAACAATGCATCTTACCGTAAATTGCTCTGATATAAATCCGGAGAACGCTGATCGTTATTGTCATTTTAGACCTCGGCTAAAAGTGAAAGCATTACTGGTGGATAATCCTTCCTTGGCTATCTCTCCCAACACGCACGCACTCTCTCTCTCTCTCTCTCTCTCTCTCTCTCTCTCTCTCTCTCTCTCTAGCACGTTTGCTTGCAGAGATCCAGCATTGTGA